ACATTGACAAACGATGTCACCTGGCTTAATATGATAATTATTCATGAGATGTAAAGATAACACTTGAACATAATGTAATAGTTCAGCATATGTCAAAGATTGTTCATCCAATTCAACAGCTAGTTTTTGTGGATGTTTCATTACTTGATATACAAATTCATGATGAATACAAGTGACAGGAGATGAAAATGATACTTGTGTATTATTCATTGATTGCATAAGTAATCTTTCATTTGCTAATGTTAATGATATTTCATAGATTGGTCTACTCATTTGATCATCAACAGATGTAAATAATTGTTTCAACATTGAATGAAATCGTTGAGATATCTTATCGATTGTTTCTACATTGAATAAATCAAGTGATGCATTGATTGTGCATGAGAGTTGATTCATGTTCATATCATGTTGAATTAGAAAAGAAAAATCACACTTATTTCTAATCTCATTATCGTTCATGCTCATTGTGAAAGGTATTGGAGAAAGTTGACTATTACCAATCGTTATTAGTTTATTGTTACTTCTCGTTATAGATGATAGAAACTGAAATGATATATCAAGAAATGCAGGTTTTGAAATATGTGGATGTTGATTGAGAATACGTTGAAGTGGAAAATATGAATATTTCATACTATTGCTTGTTATCTCTCGAACATAATCGAGTAGATATTGGAAAGACCGATGAGTATCTAGTTGGCATCGTAATGGAATGACATTCTCAAACAGGCCAATGATTGATTTGAGTTCATCTCTATATCGATTATTATTGATGTTCATAGCAATACATAGATCTGTTTGTCCATTAGTTAATTTAAATAGAAAGATGAAATAAATAGCAAATGTGAGATAGTCAAGTGATATATTATTTGATGATGCATGAATAAGAAAATCATGTGAGAGATCTTGACCAAAATCGAATGAAATAGATGTTCCACGATCACTTCGATATTCATTGGAGAGACGGTATCGATCGAATGGTAATGACAAAGGTTGATCGAGTTTACAACCATGAAGAACATCAGCCCAAAACATACTTGCACCAGTCATTGATATTTGTCGTTCAATAGTAGCATCTACATAAGTAAAAAAAAGAATGGTTTAGAAGAGTGAAGTAGAAGAGCTAATTCTATTTACAGTCGAGGTAACGTAGAAGACTGTTATCATCATATGATAAGTGGCCTATTGTATATGCTTGATTGAGGTCATGAAGAAAGATATTCATTGATGGAAAATCAAACAAAGCATGATGAACATTGAGAATGACTACATCTCTGTCAGAAAGTAGATCATCTGATGAGATTTGTTTATAATAAATAATATGACATCGAAAGACAAGACCTTGAGCAAGATCAAAAAATCGAGGATTAAGTTTCTCGTCGTGTAAAATCTCATTAAGTTGTTCATCTGTTTCATAAGTGCTTTCAATAAATGTAAATAGTTGTCTAATACTATTGTTCATATCAAAGATTTGTTGTAATTGTTGATTGTTTCCTGTATGAAATATGAGTGATGTTCGAAGAGATTGATGTTTTGTGATTATTAATTCTAGAGCATGACGAAGATGTTGTGCAGATAAAGTATGATGTGAATGGAGCCGATAAAGAAAAGGCATGTTGTAAATTGCTACTTCTGATTTGTTCGAAATGAAATGAATACGTTCATTAAGACAAAGACGATCTTGTGCAAATGATGCTGGTGCTAAAATAATGTGTGATTGGTAGATTATAATTCAAGAGAATAATGATATCTAATCTCAATGTTCATATCATTCTTCCTTCGATGGCTTTTGTAAACAAAGGGGAGAAGGCAGACTTTTGGACTTGAAATTACTTACGTTATTTTAAACTACTTCGAGCGACTTCGCAAATACTTTAAGCCACTTTTGTACTTTGATATACTTTAACCCTCAAGCGCCCACCTGGGGTCCACGCGGACCCCAACTAGTTTCATTCTAATGTTTTACATATACGATCACAGATTATATCACACCACTCTAGATATGCTCTAGCGCAGAGTAGTAGAGTATACTATAGAAAGCATTCGCTTATCTCCTTTAGTCTTCTATAAGATAAATTACCTTAAAGTACATATATACGCATTTTGCCAGCCTGGGGTCCAACCGGACCCCATGATATAGCATTAGTTTCTGCTTATTATTTGATTATAAATTTTTCGTTTTCATAGTTTATACATTTGTCCGCACATATGAGAGTATTCTGTAGCTATCTAATAAATTGTAAAGCATGTCAATGACTTTCTTTTTCAACATACTCGATGTTGGTACTCTTGCTACTTTTATGGTATGGGCAACCAAAAAACTCTCAATAGAATGAAAAGAAAAACTACCGTCGACGTCTATTTCTAATGGAATTAGGTCATGATCTTGTTCAATCGCATTTGGATCGATGACGACATCAACCGCAGGCACTTCAAAAGAACGTTCGAATAGCTATGCAGGCAATTGGGCTAACAATAACTACTTCACAACCAACTATTGTCTCAACAGCTACTGTCAATCAACGTTGTCATCTTTGTCCAAGAGAGCGTGATCGAAAGGTTATTACTTACTGTTCAAGTTGCGATGCTCCCTGTTGTCCAGATCATCACATAGTTGTTTGCACAATTTGTAGCGAAACATTTTTAGGATAAAAACGGCTTATAAGAAAATGTTTTAAAAATAAAAGATAAAATAACGAAATATAGTTTTTTTTTATAAGCTACTAAGTCTGTTAGAGGCAAATTATATACCACACAATGCTATCATAGTGTACTAGTTAAAACGCGTATTATATCTGTCTTATTAGCTTGGGGTCCATGCGGACCCCAGGTGGGTAATAAGTGGTAGTCCTACAGGTGGGCGCTTGAGGGTTAAGTGCAAAAGTCTGTCTTTTCCCCCTTGTTTTTAACCAACAAAATAACTGATTGGGAACACTGGGTTAGTATTAAGATTACATTAATTAAAACTCTTGTTAATACTTTTGTATTATGATTAAGTAATGTTTGAACATATTTTCGTTAACATTAGGAATATTCTAAGAGCTTGCTATTAATGTCGAACTTATTTCAGAATAATATGAATATTCGTGATTCTAATAACAGCACCAAGGGGTAACAGCGGACTTCAAGACTTCAAAGACTTCAAGAGACTTCAAGACTTCATGAGACTTCATGCATGAAGTCTCTGTTGTATACCCCTTGAAACACATTCACTTACATCTTCTTATCAGACATTAGTTTTATTCTTTGTGTTCTCATAGTCAAATACTTTTCCAGTGAAATAGCAACTTTAAAAACAATCTACTGCAGAAAAATACTATAAGATTTTTAATAAAGATATTCTATAGTGAAATCAATTAAGACAAGGTTTTTGTATCATAAATATGATTTTTCTTTTGTCGAGCATAATTTTTATTTATGGTTTATTTTGAGTGCGTATAAAAAGTTACCACATTTATTCTGGCAGAACGAGTGTTTTTTTTCAGGTTTATACTTATATTTTCAGTTAGTTTTTGCTAGTCGGTTTTTTTAATTAGAAAAATCTTAAGAGAAAATGTTTTTATATGAAAATGTCTGGCCGAAAACGGCTAACATAGTATTTCAGAAAATAGTTCATGAATACTCCATATCAGTAACAGCATTTGCTACAAATGCATCGTTTGAAACGCTTGTGTTTATGTTAGAAAAGCAAGTTAATATTTTGGAATTAGTATTGAATTTGTATTAATATTACACAAATTCTAATAATTTCGAAACAAAAATTTTGTTCCGATTTGTTCGTTTACATTGTAAAAATTCAACAGCTCGGTGCTGTTCAAGGGGTATACAATAGAGGCTTCATGCATGAAGTCTCATGAAGTCTTGAAGTCTCTTGAAGTCTTGTGAAGTTTCACGAAGTCTCTTGAACTCTGGAGACAGTCTTGAAGTCATATGAAGTCTCTAGAAGTCTTTGAAATTTCATGAAGTCTCAGGAAATCTCACGAAGTCTGATGAAGTCTTTCAAAGTCTCATGACGTCGTCTAGAATTTTCAGATATGCATATATTTCACGAGAAAATCAAAGAAAATGTCGTATTTTCACAGATATTATTCTGTTACAATCGAGGGGGAAACAACAGAGACTTCACGCCTGAAGTCTAATAAAGTCTTACGAAATGTTATGAAGTCTCGTAAAGTCTTTTGAAGTCTTATGAAGTATCATGAACTCTCGTGAAATCTTTAGAAATCACTTGAAGTCTTTGAAGTCTGTGAAGTCTTTTGAAATCTTTTGAAGTTTATAAAGTCTTCTAAAATCTGCGAAGTCTCTTGAAGTCTGTGAAGTCCATTGAAGTCTCTTAAAGTCTCTTGTACTCTGTTGAAGTCTATCGAAGTCTTCTGAATTCTTTGAAATCTTTTAAAGTCTATTCAAGTCTTCTAAAATCTTTGGAAGTCTTCGGAAGTCTTTTGAACGATTGAGGTCTCCCTTGTTGAAGTCTCTTGAAGTCTTTCGAAGTCTTTGAAGTCTTGAAGTCTTGAAGTCCGCTGTTACCCTCTTGATGTGTTTCTATAAAACAGACGTTATCTTTCACGATATTTCCTATTAGTCACCTTACGTAAAAAAAAACTTTTCTAAGGAAATAGCAACACTCATTGTGTACAAAGATCTATCTGATTAAAAAGATGTGCATACTGTTTCAAAAATACAATACGGCGACTGTAATACTCTAACACTCACATGAAATTCCCATTTTATCAAAAGCTTCTAACTAAATATAATACAATATTCCTAATTCTTATCTTGTAAACTCACACAATTATCTTTCGTAACAAAAAATCTGTTCTACATAAATTTGTATGTGTACGACTGAATGCATAATTTAATCACCTTCTCTAATAATGTCAAAAACCAATATATATCCCAATTTTTCCTTCTAGAAGCAACGAAGAGATAAGTAATCATACCTTCGTTCACAATATTCTCCAATCGATGAAACACGACTAATTCCATTTCTTCAGCTTCCTCAGGAAGGATAAGAGAGACGTTGTTAATCGATGAATTCACACTCATCACAGGAATGTTACTTGATTGTGTTTGAAACATTTGCTCAAACATAAATTCAAATCTTTGAGCTATTTTTGAAATAGTTGATTTTTCGAACAGATCACATGAACAAACAAAACTACATGATAATTTCTTGCTATCTGATAATGAATTGTATATAAATGTTAATGAGAAGTCAAATTTAGACACTTCAGCTGATTGCTCTAATGATATTCGTTCTAAATTTGTATCATTCAAATATAAATATCCCATATCTTTTGACACAGTGATAAAATCAAACATTGTTCCAAGAAATGATACATTC